TATGCTTTTTGTTACCTGAGTTTCATTCAAATTTCTTGAAATTGAACTTCCTACACTCATCATCTTCTAAGACAAAGGGTTAATTAGAATGAATTCTTGGTTAATTGGGAGCTTTAATGTTAGAATTGACAAATTAGACCATGCAAGCTAAGTTAGAAAGGAATTGAAGGAATTTGGCCTTAAATTCGACATGCATGGCATGAAATTATGACATTATTGTTTACACCTTTCCCAGGTGGAAATAAGAACACTGCCATTTTTCTTCTTAAATCCTCTCAAGGAGAAACATAAGGCACCAAAGGGGAAAGGATTAGAAGGCAATAACATAATCAATAACAAAGAGTTCATTGATAATTACGCTTCCGTTTAACCGTTCATCAATGGATTCAGGTATGTCATTTTGTCTTGATTTCTTGATAATACACATGGTAAATGATCCAAAGTGTAAGGTTTATGTTCTGAAATTTATGTTTACAAAAAGTTCTTAGATTCTTGGATATTCTAGAAAGTTAAATGTAGCAAAAAGTCTTGAAGTAAAAATATAGGCTATTTACCGCGGAACAACTATCATTCATGAAAAAGGTTGGAGAAATGTGATAATTGAAACAAACTGTCAAGATGCTGTCAAACTTATCAATAAAGGAGCTCACCCAAACTGCCCTTACCATGCTCTTGTGAATGACATCAAATTCCTTACCTCCTGAATGGACTGCACTATCAAGCATATTTTTCAAAAAGTCAATCAGTGTGCACATGTCCTTGCTCATATGGGAGAAAATCAGATAGAAGACTTGAAGATCTATGAAGACCTCGTATTTTGCTAAGGCCCATTCTAATGACTGACATGGTTGGAATTGTGAATGAGAGGGATTAACTCCCTCTCATTTCCTAATTGGAGCTGTTGTTTAACTTTCCTTACTACCTTAAAAAAAATGTGAGTTGGCAAGAGTTAAAGTTCCATTAATGTATGAACTTGACATTAATTATTCAAGAAGAACGTAAAAAAAAAATAGTTCAAATTAAATACGAACAGTGTTGGAAATGGTTATAAAATTTTTGGTAAAACTAGAATTTTTTCCTAAGTTTGATCTATTTTTTAGGTGGGCTCCGTGCGTCGATTTTCGCTGGTCAAAGTGGTAACGCGTTCTATGCCGCGTTGTGATTCACGTGGTATATTTGGTTGCTCAAAACCATTACCGAGTGAATAGGAAATTGAAGCCAAAGTATGCTCTATGGAAATGGAGTTTTGGTGGAAAATTCTTAAAGGTTTGAATAAGGCTTGTCCCATATTGATATAGTGGGAAGTTTTGAATGGGTTTATAAGGCATGAGTTTGGTACTTAGGGTGTGCCCCAAGGGGTACCCAAGTGTTTTAGAGAGGGATGTTATAGGCAAAATGGGTTAAACCCATTGAACCCAAAAATCACCACACACGCGCGCGCCACCACCGTCTGGGTAGGC